TAGAATAATTTTACAGCAAAAACATGTAAACATCCTTACATCTAACAACGTAGAAGAATCTCACAGCTAAAAACATTTAAACATCCTTACATCTAACAACTTAGAATAATTTTACAGCAAAAACATGTAAACATCCTTACATCTAACAACGTAGAAGAATCTCACAGCTAAAAACATTTAAACATTCTTACATCTAACAATTTAGAAGAATCTCACAGCTAAAAACATTTAAACATCCTTATTTTACAGCAAAAAACATTTAAACATTCTTACATCTAACAATTTAAAAGAATTTCACAGCTAAAAACACTTAAACATTCTTACATCTAATAACTTAGAAGAATTTTAGAGCAAAAAACATTTAAACATCCTTACATCTAACAATTTAGAATAATTTTCAACTAAGAACATTTAAACATCTTGCATCTAACAGCTTAGAAGAACTATAGTTGGTTCTAAGTTTTACAGGTAAGAACACTTAACACTCCTTACATCTAAGCAAACATCTTTTTTTAACAATATATGTTGTAAAACAACTATATTAGTTTTTTGAAGACTGAATTTATGATAAATACCAATAACTATTTTACAGTTTGAGTTTTTAGTATATATATATATATATACTTTTACATGACTTTATTTAGTCCACCTCATTTTCAAAGATCGAAGTTTTTATTCTGGTATTTACATCTTCGCAATTGAATAGTAGTGGTGCACTCATCATCTGGTTAAGATCTGGTTTTCTTAGCTTAATGGCAAGAGATTCTAGCATCTTAAGGAGGAATTCTTCAGTGGAATAAAGAACGATGTGGTAAAAAGTGGAGGTAGGCGTAGAATCACATTCGTTTAGACAGTGTTTGGTAATACTACTGTTGTTGTAGTTTTTAACAGTACAATGTTATTTTATTCGACTGGAGAGCGTTCTAGTGGTTGATCCAGTATATCCCTGGTTACACCACGGGCATGTGAACCCAAGTACCACTAACAGGGCACTCGGTGGATGTTGTTTGTCGTTAAAGACGAAGAGCCCTTTTAATTAAGACTGTTTTTAACGATACGTGAATTTGTGGATGTAGTTGTTTGATAATTCCTTCGTAATCATGTATGGAACAGTGACTAAGTAGGGTATGACTACAGGAACAGTTTCGTCTTCAAAACGTCTAACATTACAATAGATGGGATATTTAGGTTTCAGTTTTTTGTGTGGATTATCCTATTTAGGAAGGATAACGGGAAACACTTTCTTCTAAACATGTGTTTTAATGTTCTCAAATCCTGCATCAAACTTTAGATTTCCTGATATCTTAAACGTCTATATAGTAGAGTTTTAATCAGAATCTCTTTAAATATTTTAAAAGTGAATAAAGTCCGGAAAGTGGGTTTATGATGCGCTTTAGAAGTAAGTATATACTGGTTTATTGGTTACCTGTTAGTTATCTCTGTCAATCGGTTTTCTTGTTACCTGTTAGTCAACCCTATCGACTGGTTTATTGGTTACATGTTAGTTATGTCTAGCTACATGTTTAATTGCTTATTTTTGTTCTTGTTTTTCAGTTCTCTTTATCGTGGGACGTTCTAAGTATAAGATCATTCCCCCGCAGGGGAACATTGTTATCAAGGTAGTGAAATGTATTGGTGTAAGTATTATTTTGGTTAGTCTGATGTTTTAAGTGATAAAAATAATTAATATTGCGTGGCCTGGTGCTTAGGGCGCTCGATTCGCAATCTACGGTCGCGGGTTCGAATCCCATCACCTAACATTCAGTCGTGAGGGCGTTATAATGTGATGATAAATCCCATTTTTCGTTGGTAGAAGAGTAGCCCAAATGTTGGCGATGGATGGGGTTAAGTAATTTCCTTCTTTCTATTACTTCCTAGTTAGGGACAGCTAGCAAAATAACTTTATACAAAATTCAACAAATAAACTAATATGGAAACCAAATAAACACATGTTTATATAATTACTGTAAGAAAAATATTGTATAACTGAGAAAACTTAAGAATACCCCAGTGAAACTTTCTGTTCCATCTTCAAATCTGTTACTTTGACTTTCTAAGAGAATATAAATCTTGTTCAATACTTCGACAAATTTTATGTAAGTACTTGGATGTTTAACATATTTTGCTCGATCAGAATCTTGATCCTACAATAACAGAAGGATCGAAATGATTTTTTGGGGTGGTTATTGTTAAGCATAACGCTACACAAAGGACTATCTGTGCCCTGCTACCCAGGGGTATCGAAACCCGGTTTTTATGCGTTGTATGCTTTAGACTTACCGCCGAGTCACTGAGGGGGGGGGGACTTTTTGCAAAGAATAAAAAAGCTAACAAGGAAAATCTGAAACACAAATGCAAAACAAAGAAAACAGTCTTTACAAGTTATGGAAACTTGAGTTATCTTGACGGACCTGGAGTATTTTTTGTAATTTTGGCCAATTTCTATGCATTAGAATAACTCCTTTGGCTGCTTGGGGTGAATGAAAGCCAGGAGACTTACACACACCACGGAGACGAAAAAGCTTACGCAGTTTCAAGTCAGGTCAAAGCTTTAGAGCACTATTCCACACAATACTACACGCATCAATGATGATTTTCATTGTATATTTTAAAAGTTGGATTAAATGCCTGCTCAAAGTAAGTAGTAAGTAGTCAAACTTTTTTACCACCTCTACACTTTGAAGCGACCCACATGCAAGGGGATAGTTGACACAGAGTATGGTCAAACAAGTATAAGCTCTTTGGAATGACTACTGTTGTATGTAAATTTGACTCGAGACGAGGATTAACGCAAGTTTGCGACTACTTACTTCCTGTTCACAACAACATTAACTAAATGCAATGCACCTGTTCCTGAACATGCCTAAATAATAATGTTATTTTCTAGCCATAGAAAGGTAAAATCGAAATATGCCTAAATAATAATATATAATTTTCTGTCCATAAAAAGATAAAATCTGAACTGCTACAATAGCACCTGGAATAAGAGTTTCCAGGTGAGTAATAGCATCACCATTTCAGGCTAACAGTGATTCTATTTCAGTGAATAACAAATGCGTGTGAATATACACACAGTGTATACAAATCTAACCATTCTGAAGCATCTGGAAATCCTATATAGCAGAGACGGCTGGAATGGGTATTAAAAACTTTAATTAAAATAAAGTATAAGAACAACGTTAGGACCTTCTTAGGTCATCTTCAGGTTAACAAAGACAGTTTTAAACTGGTATACTGCTATACATTTTTACTTCAAGTGGGTTTCTCGTCATCAACTGGAAATCCTATTACCTCGTTATTTTTGTATGCGAAAGAGGTTGAAATGATTATAGCTAGAAAAAAATAATCAATATCAGTTAAGCACAATTATACTAGAAAACGTATTTATATTGAATGCTTAGTGTGTTGAAACTTCTGTCGTTCCCGGATCGCGCTGCTATGATATTCCACGCATGCTGCGATATTGGTCTAATCCCTCTAGTGGCACTCTTGTAATCATTATAACAGAAGTTCGGGCTTCTGTCTCTTAAACATAAGTAAAGAGTTTTGTTAACATAATTTCCGGACACACTGCTTATTCTTTTGATAAGTTACTGCTTAGCATACGTAATGCATCATTAATTTATAGGTGTTTAGCAATATTGGCATAAAATATGGGAGTTTGTAGATATAATTTCGTTCTCAAAAAAGTACAAGACAAAGTGTACGTAGCAAAAACTTAAATAAAACAAGAAAAATTAACTTTGCTTTATAACATTACACTAGTGTAATAACATTGTTTACCCTCTTGAACATTTGTTATATACTGGGGTCACAATTACTGACCATGAAAAATCATTTCGGCACTAGAAGACCAGTCGAAGTTATTTTTTTAGAAATATGATGAAAAACATGGTGACATTGTTACAACGAGTCTTTACATTTACGTTTATTTGTTGCTTTCTTTCGTATTAAGTACAAAGCTGCACAATGAACTATCTGTGCTATGCCTGGCGCAGGGTTCAAATCCTGAATTGTAGCATTATAAGCTCTCGAGTTTACTACTGAAAAACAGGGGAGAGGCGTTATTTATGAAAATTTAACGAAAAAAAATAAAAAATATATTGTATACAAAAAAATCAAACATACATAGCCTAAAAATAGTCGCAGAATATATGTTAAGGACGGCATCTTGTATATATATATATATATTTCTAATTATCATTCCAATACTTGAATTGCTATAATGTCGATTGAAGGTTAGTGCGACATAAACTGACTGAATAATATTAACCTTCCAGCCCTCAATAGTATGATAAGGATATAATAGTTATAAGCATGTTTGGTTTGATGAACCTGCCAAGTTACTCTAGAAGTTTAAATTCTGTCTGTAAGGAAATATGAATCAATGTGATCTGTATCCGGACAACAATGTTCCTTTAGTTTGTTTGTTGAATATGTATCCGGACAACAATGTTCCTTTAGTTTCTTTGTTGAATATGCATCCGGACAACAATGTTCCTTTAGTTTCTTTGTTGAATATGTATCCGGACAACAATGTTCCTTTAGTTTCTTTGTTGAATATGTATCCGGACAACAATGTTCCTTTAGTTTCTTTGTTGAATATATATCCGGACAACAATGTTCCTTTAGTTTCTTTGTTGAATATGCATCCGGACAACAATGTTCCTTTAGTTTGTTTGTTGAATATGTACCCGAACAACAATGTTCCATTAGATTATTTATTGAATTTGTACCCGGACAACAATGTTCCTTTAGATTATTTATTGAATCTGTACCTATACAACATCGTTCCTTTAGTTTGTTTATTGAATTTGTACCCGAACAACAACGTTCCTTTAGATTGCTTGTTGAATCTGTACCATACAACATCGTTCCTTTAGATTGTTAATTGAATCTGTATCTGGACAACAACGTTCCGTTAGTTTGTTTATTGAATCTGTATCTGGACAACAACGTTCCCTTAGTTTGTTTATAGAAAAGCTACTATGGTTATTTATTGCCGTCCCTAATTTTATCTATCGACAGAGGGAAGGCAACCTGCCGATAGTACCGAACGCCAATCCTTGGGTTACTATTTTGCCAACGAACAGTGGGATTGAATTTCATATTACAACGCATCGGTGCCGAACGTGCTCGTCCTTCGGCAGAATGCAGGTAGAGGGCCCTAACATCCAGGCAGTTTGTGTTTATTTACTATTTATTGTTACAGCCTAGAAAAAAGTCCATGTTTTAATAACACTAGAACAAATACATCAATAACTGCCCTAACTAACCAGAACTAGCTCATACGCTGTAGTATTGATGTCCCTATTTTAGTTGTCATAAACAAAATGTTTAAGAAAATATAAAAATAATAAGAATAAAATGAATAACGGCAAATCATTTTTCCACCAATGTTTTTCCAGCATGCACTGAGACGACGCAGCAAAGCTATCAAAGAAGGAATAAGAAAAGATCATTGGTTGAACTATGCTGACGACAAGTATGACGTAAGTGATAGATTAGTTATTTTTTATTGTTCTTATTATTTCAGTACTAGTGAAAGATTTGAACTGCAACTTATCGCTGTTAATTGGATAATTTCCAATAAAAACATTCGACTCAGAATTGACGTTTCGAAGCAATGTCAAAAGTAATTCATTTTATTTTACAGACAAAACTGATTGAAGATGTGAAAGCTGTGTTATACGTGTTACGTTTGTATCTGCCAATTCCAGTATTTTGGGCACTTTTTGACCAACAGGTAAATATCGCTCATTGCTATGAAATCTTCTTCGAAGTCAGCGCTCTATATCGATAGTTTTAATAACTTGCATATTATGGTTCTTCTATTGCATTCTAGGCCAATGGTCCTCAAACTTTTCAGATGACGCACCCCTTTCTTTTGTCTATGATATTTAACAACCACCACACACATACCATAATGCATATAAATATGTTTATATAACACTATCCCTAAATATTAAATTCTGTAGTAAAATGTAAATTTCATGTGAGATACTACTTAACTATCAGCCAGATGGGTGAGGCTGTGTATTGCAACAGAACAGTAAAATATGCTGTAATTTAGAGTTTTTACTTAAGATACTACTGAGATACTACTTAACTATCAGCCAGATGGGTGAGGCTGTGTATTGCAACAGATCAGTAAAATA